TTCACTTTTATGTTATGAGTCCCATGTAATAGGGGGTGAGCCTATTGCCATATACCGGGCACAATTCCAGACTCCGTGCTACTACTTAGATTTTTTTTTAAAAACCCAGTAATACTTTGCCCGACCCGGGAATCGAACCCAAGACTCCTTGCCCGGCAGTCGCACTTGCGACCACTCGGCCAATGAGGCAGTTTATTGAATTATTGTATATAGTATTGAATATATTTATATCAAACCTGTGACATAGATCTGAAATGTATTAATTTAAAGGCGGTATTGAAATACTTTACCCATAAATCCTCAAGCGGTCACCGGTGACCGCTTTCCACTAATATTACATTACATTATAGACCTTGTTTCTAATGTTTAGAGAATACTTTTGTATGACCAAATTTAGGGGATGGATATCAACGGGTTAAATGTTTTTACAACTAAAATTAAAATAAATTCTACTTCTGCAGATACTTTTAAAGAAAAAACCTAACCTAACTGTTCAAAAGTTAAGTACAGGTTTGATTACAGGTAATTATTCTCATGGTTAATTTAAATCACACGTGAATGGGCTTTCACCAAAATTTATAAAATTTTACATGTAAGTTGTATGGGTTATGCAGGTATGGCATGTGTATGTATTTTCGTGGAATCAAGTTCAAAACCTTGCGAAAAATGTACCAAGTTCCTTCATATATAAGGTACAACCAGTTCCAAATTAAACACTCCTTGATATAATTTCATTAAGTAAACAGCTACTTTAATGTATTAAAATGATTTTTAAGGTACTTTAATTGTTATTATTTTTTAATAAAATAATTTTCAGAGTAAAGCTAAGGTTTTTTCGAGAGTGAACACAGAGTTTTTATTTGTCAAGTGTCTTTGCTGGCCGAAACGTGTGAATTGTAACTTCGGATCCCCCATATCACCTCATTCAGTAGAATGGGACCTGGATAAAATGGGTAGTGATTGATTTCTAAATAATAATTACGAATTTCCGGTTATCTTCAGGTTATCTGTTTAGCTGTTGCCCTGGCTGTCGTCAGTGCAAGACCACAAGAAGGTCACAAACATGGTCACGCCATTTCATCACAAAGTATCGTACTTCATAAATCTCATGAGGGAAAGCACGAGTCTTCGCACCACGAGAAGAAAGAGGAAAAACACAATAAGAAAAATGAGGAGCATCATCTTGAGGAACACCACGGTCACGCCTCATCCTCGCAGAACATCAAACAGTACCATGGAAAAGCTACTGAAAAACACGTCGAATACTATGTAAGAGATTATTCAGTTTTGCCTACCATTCAATGATAAGATTATAATAAAAAAAAACCTCCATTAATTTATCCTTGTATATCACAGTCCCACCCTAAGTACGAGTTCGCGTACAAAGTGGAGGACCCTCACACCGGTGACAAGAAGTACCAGCACGAGGCGCGCGACGGTGACGTCGTCAAGGGTGTGTACAGCCTGCACGAGCCCGACGGTACTGTCAGGATCGTGGAGTACCACGCTGACAAGAAGACTGGGTGAGTATTATTATTACCAACGACAAAGTATTTTTAAACCTTTAATGTAAATTCATGACTTTATTTGCCTAAACTGCCATTCATTTACAAAATCAATAGAAGTTACTAGTTACAAGAAAAATATTTTTTAATATACCAATAACTCTCGACGGTATCAAAAAATGCTAGTACTGTTTCTTTGTAGCAAGTATATTGAATGTTTTTAATTTGCATAATTTTGCAGATTCCACGCCAACGTGAAACACGAGGGTCACGCCAAGCACGTTGTTCCTAATAACCATCATCATTGAATTAACTTTTAATTAATATGACTGTCTTGATGTTGTTTTTATTTATCTTGTTGCTATGTTGTGATAACTATGTAAACTATGAAAGTTGTTGATTTGTGATGTCGTTACGTTTGTAATTTATTAACTATGATGTTAATTAATAAATCTAAATTGTATTAAAAATAAAGATTTTTTGTTTCATTTCTTTATAATGTGTAAGTTTAACTGTGTATTTATTAATAGCGATAAAAATCTTAACATTAATGCCAAAATACGCCTGTCACGACCCTTTCAGACACAAGATTCTTTTGTGAATGAAAAATTCACGGCATGCCTTACAGGTTCATGGATCATAAAAAATTAAAAGCCAGTGTGACATTGAAAAATATTTTACTCAAGATATGTAATGAATTTTATGCTTGATTTTTAACTTTTATGTATTCATTTTCAAATAAAAACATTAATGTCTTTTTCTTAACACTACTAAGCTTGCTCTGCTAACTCTCTTTAGACGCTATTTATTGCGATATTATCAACATATACTTATAACTTTAACATTATTGAATAAGTACCTAAAAATTATTTCAGATCAATGAAACAAAAATAAAAATGTATTTCTTCATACTTCTTTCGGATTTAGTAGGTAATGATAATACTAAGGGCATTACTAACACTTATAGGTGTAAGGATATATTATATCCTGTATTTTATTTATTATAGTATTATTATTATAATATTGTAGTATGAGTAATATGTGGGTATACCATCAATAAAGTTTATGCGTCAATTAATAAAAAGGATTTTAAGGAAAACCACTTGTAATAGTTATGCTTGTATTATTACAAAAATACATAAACAAAAATCATTAAAACGTAACAGACAGTGTAACAGAATCACTTTTTTTAGTTAATCAACAATAATGGCTTCTTTGTGGTGGTGATGAGGCTCGATGTGGTGAGTGCTGTGTTTCACGTCCGCGTGGAAGCTGGGGACCGCAATAAATACATAATATACCTACATATTTTGAATGGATCCATAAAAACAAAATAAAGCAGATTCTAATTGTTTGCGAGAGAATACAACTTACCCGCTGTGGTGGTCGCCGTGGTAGTGCACGTCCCTGACGGAGCCGTCAGGCTCGTGCAGCGAGTAGTGGCCCTTGACGACGTCACCGTCGCGGTGTTCATGCTGTGACTTGTGGTCGCCCGTGTGATCGTCGTCCACCTTGTACTTAAACTCGAACTTAGGATGAGTCTGTCGTCAAACACAGATAAATTTAATACCTTCCATTATCATCAAAATCAGTCGTAAGAGTTTTTTCTGAACAAAAGGAACTTGCCATAATCCTTACGTTTTCCAGGCAGCTTAGGTAATGCATTCGGGTCACGATTGTTAGGAGGATACTGCTGCTTATTTCTTTTTATTTCTCATTAACTAATTAGCCTCCCTGCCCCAATCTCCCCAATCTCTCACTCCCCAACAATTCTCAAATTTCTAGACCCTAAAAGGCCACTAATAAACTTGTAACGCCTTTGGTGCTCCGGGTGTCCATGGGTAATGCCGATTGCTTACCGTCAGGTGATTCGTCTGCTCGTTTACCAGCTTACTGGCTTACTTCATAAAAAAAAACTAGTCACGATTTCTGGGACTAATTCGGGTAAAGTTAACCGGTATGATAATAGTTTCCGTTGTCACTTACATAGTAGTCATAGTGATAATGTCCATGGGATACAGGTTCATGGTGGCCATCATGTTTGTGGACATATTGTGATGATGTGCCATGAGCGGAGACCACCGCGACAGCTATAGACAGCACGCAAAGAACCTAAAAACAAAGGTTATGTGAAATATATGACGTTTTAACTAAAATATTAAACTGTCAAACACCAAGCGGTCACCGGTGACCGCAACCTATTGTTCTATAATTGTGTCTATAATGACGGTACTCGACGAGTTAATAACTGGTTTTGATACCTTGAAGAACATGTTGAAGTATTGTTAACACCTTGATGCTAGGTCCAAGAGTGAACTGTTACCATAACTTCTAATGCTGACGTCTTTTATATGACTTAGGAAGAATGCAGCAGTATAGTATCTATTGATTTCTCTGAACTATGTCGTATAGGCACGAGTATAATGAAAATGACAATTTGTTTCGTAATAAATGCTTTGAAAGACATAATTTTCATTTTAATTGCATGATGTTAGGTCATTTCTGGCTTTTGTTTTTATGTAACTTGAAACCTCGTTCATTTGTTAGGAACACTACAATAGCAATAATATTTTGCAAAGCGCATTGCTAGATGAGTCGAACAAGTTTGAAGTGAAATGAAATTCTTGTTTAGATGATGACAATTATTCATCAAGGCTTTGTTTAGATAATGACAATTATTGACGTGGCAAAATATTAGTAGAAATGAAGCTATTTGATTAGTACCGATCTACCGAAATGTAGACATTTGAACTCTTTGTTTCAAATCTTACTTATTTTAAATGTACACTTCTGTAGTATGTTAATACCTACGTATGTCGCGAAATGCTACTTATGAATATGAGCCTCCAGAATTGCTTAAAACTAATCGAGTTCCTCGTCAAAAAGTAACGCGGGTGTATAAGCCGAAAAAATAAATATTAATTGATTTTGTATGTCACAAAAGTAATAATACAAGTTTTTTTAAAACATGCTATTTATCTAGTATTTTACTTTTAGTAGGTAATATTATTAATATGATTGAAAATATCTTTCACTATTGCTTATAGCATGGAAGTTGACGTTAAGATGACAAATAACATTAAATGTAGAGCAAGTAACTTGTTCTTCCGGGTCTGGGTGTATGTGTATGTGAACTTGTATGTTTATAAATGCACCCACGACACAGGAGAAATGCCAAGGGTGGGGTAACGTTTTTTTTTTTTTTAAAAAAACGCAACGAAACTGCTTATTCTCCAATTCCGTGTGACCTAAGTTCTTTACTTAACACGTTAAACGCCATGGCAGTCACTGGTGACCGACATTAGCGGAGGATTTGCCTTCAATAGTTTTTTATTGGCAGCCAATGCCTTAATTATTAATTAGAATATCTTGTGACATCAGTTTAACTTAATAAAAATAAAGATATTTTTTATTTGCGTTATAATAATAAATTGTTTGTCTCTCAAAAAAGGTTAAGGAAGAATAAACAAAACCATATTCGAAATTAATAATGTATTTAACAAATGTAACAGATAACAACTTTAACAAGTCTTAATAAACGATATCACAGAATCAGTGGTGGTAGTGGTGTTCGGGAACAATGTGTTTGGCGTGACCCTCATGCTTCACGTTGGCGTTGAATCTGTCAATGAAAAAACAATCGTAACGAATTTCTAATAAGTTACAAAATTAAGTTAAGTTAATGTTTATTTACCCAGTCTTCTTGTCAGCGTGGTACTCCACAATCCTGACAGTACCGTCGGGCTCGTGCAAACTGTACACGCCCTTCACGACGTCACCATCACGAAACTCATGCTGGGATTTCTTGTCACCAGTGTGAGGATCCTCCACTTTGTACGCGAACTCGTACTTAGGGTGAGACTGGAATATACCAAATTACATTAGCAACATGCCTTTTTCTGTGATAATCGAAAGGTTGCCCTGGGCGACACATTAACCATCTGGCTTCACAACTCATAAACTCAGACAACTGCTTATCTCGACTGAAAATAAAGCAACTAGCGTCTATATAAATCCATTAAGAGGGGAAAAAATAAATGGAGTTGGCATGCCATAGGATGTGCAACTCTCCAAAGTCTCAATAGCACGACATCTTATCTGATTAAAGCCATATCGGCTGTTTGTAGATTAAAAACCTTGAAAGAAGGTTTGCTCTTCTTACATAGTATTCGACGTGTTTTTCAGTTGCTTTTCCGTGGTGTTGCTTGATGCTCTGTGAGGAGGAGGCGTGGCCATGGTGTTTCTCATGGTGGTGGTCCTCGTGTTTCTTATGATGCTCCTCTTGGACTTTCTTGTGGTGTTCCTCGTGATGTACAGGTTCGTGTTTGTGAGAGTGGTGCAGCACTATGTTCTGTGACGATACAGCGTGGCTGTGACCATGGTGGTGGTCGTGACCTTCTTGTGGCCGCGCGGTGACCGCAACAAGCGCGGTGGCGAATAAAACAACCTGCGTAAAGTCACTAATTAGAAAATAATAAAATCCACTTTTATGGCACTTCACTCAAAATATTATTATGCAAAGATATATTACAGATAATTTTTATAAAATTATACCTACCTTTAAAAACATTGTCTTTATCGTACAAATATTTCCTTTCACAGTACACTTGTGACTGATTTCAGAAACTTCAATTATGTCTTTTTATACAAAAAGAATGAACACATATACTAAAGTGTCCAGTTTCAGGAATATTTATTTAAAACAAGCTTAACTTGTTCCGTAACTCGTTCTGTTGACAGTTCTATATTTATTGCGACCTTCACAAATGTGACAATAATGAAATGCCTTTCCCAAATATTTTAAGAAAGCAGTTATATGGTACCTTACTTTACTTATTGTTGCTATGTATTTATTGCTGACCAATATTATCTACGTACAAATTGTTGTAGAGCATAAGTGTCTGACTGATCAACCTTAGAGATTTTTGTGATAGGTGTTGATTACAAATTATTATTTCGTTATATTCTTACAAATAAATATTGCCTATTCAATTTAAGGAGATGGGAATACGTGAATCTAAATCAGTTGATATAATAACAGAAAGGCAAGGAAGTTTGCATGTTCTTACGAATAATCTATTACTGTCAGTATACAGATCAGGTATAAATTTCTAGTTATCTTGTTAACAAGAAATTTTTAAAGAAACAAGAAGTTTTTGGAATATTTTAAGACGATAATTCGCTATATTTGATGACATATACAAAGATATTATGCCATTGTTAAGTGAATACTCTGAACCATTATTTTATTGATAGTGTTAAATAAAATAAATAAAGAAGAGGAATAAACAAATTTTAATGTTTTTTATTTTAGCGTTAAAAAACAAGTAGGTAAATAAAAAAAATTGTAGCAGCTTCAGTTCTTTGGAATTTAGTAATGATGATGGTGAGGTACGATGTGGTGAATGCTGTGCTTCACGTCCGCGTGGAAGCTGGAAAGAAAGAAAAAATCGTAAATTTTGGGTTACCTTTTAAAATAAAAATTCGATTCGATTTCGGGTTCGATTCCAGGGTCGGGCAAAGTATTATTGGGTTTTTCAGTAGTAGCAGAGTGTCTAGAAATGTGCCCGGTATATGGTAATAGGCTCACCGCCTATTACATGGGATTCATAACATGAATAGTGAAAAGTGGGTGTTACATTGTACAGTGGCCATAACTGCCGTATTTTGCACCTCTGCCTACCCCTTCGGGGATAAAAGGCGTGATGTTGTGTTGTGACAAAAATTCTTCAATATAAAAACGTCTCTTTACCCGCTGTGATGGTCGCCGTGGTAGTGCACGTCCCTAATGGAGCCGTCAGGCTCGTGCAGCGAGTAGTGGCCCTTGACGACGTCACCGTCGCGGTGTTCGTGCTGCGACTTGTGGTCGCCCGTGTGGTCGTCGTCCACTTTGTAGCCAAACTCGAACTTAGGGTGAGTCTGTTTACAAAAACATGTCTTAGAGAAATTGAAAACTATTACAATGACAATATCACAATTTTAATAACTTGTCACTTACGTAGTAGTCATGGTGACCATGTCCATGGTGTACGGGCTCGTGGTGTCCGTCGTATTTGTGGACGAACTGGGACGAGTGTCCGTGAGCGGAGACCGCCGCAATGGCGACAGATAGAACGCAGAGTACCTGGAAATATAAATGATTTTATGAAATCCCTGATGTTCGTGCAACTTCTATTGGGCTTACCTTGATCAAGCTGTACGCAATCTTTGCATTATACAAGTTTAAAAAGTATAATCGAAAGCATTATTTAGATTTCTAGAAATACGGAAGATTGTGTGATATACCTTGAAGAACATGTTGAAGTTTTGTTTACGCTTTGTCACCCAGTTCAAGAGTCAACTGATACCATAACTTCTAATGCTCACGTCTTTTATATGACTTAGAATAACGCAGCCAAGGTAGTATTGATTTCTCTCAATTATGTCGCATACGACATGGGTGTAATGAACTGAACAATTGTTTCGTAAATGCTATTAAAGACATAATTTACTTCTTTGTTGCGTGATGTTAGATCATTTGTTGCTACGGGCTCCAGTATCAAAATTACCTATTATAATAATGATTGTGAAGGACATTGTTCGTTAGTATAATCGATGTGTATCTAAAAATAACTTGCCTCTTGTTTCCTGAATTGACAAGACATGGGTTTGCATTTAGCAAATAAGTTATGTATTTCTATTATATTCGACCACAGAACATAGTTCGACCAAGGACAAGCATATTATGAGTGAACTTATTGAAAATTATATGCACCGTACCGAATTGCATGGACGAAACAACCGTATGGACTTTATTTCAACAATTCTTAGGTATACATGATAACTAAAATGTTTAGAACTATGTATACTTTTTCAGTTGCAATTATTATGTTTCTGTCGGTTTTATCAAGCTGTTCCAGTATTTTTATCTAATAAATTGTCATTTTGTGTGCTTACATGATGAGTAGATGGTGGAGGCTGCAACTTCTCGACAGTATCTACAAAAGAGGGCAATACTATCCACACATGGTAAGCGAGTTGGTGATCGCAGTTCAAAAGATTTATAAGAGAACTGTAGCTGGGCCTGTGTAAATAATGTAAAGTAAGTATTCCCTTAGTTGATTCTTAAAATACCCGTGGAAAGAGTCTGAATGGTGAAAATGTAAATCCATATCTATACATAGTTAATTTTTTAGTAAGGGATCCCCCCTTACAAAAAAATTGTCATCGAATGACTGCTCCCGCCTGGGTGATCCAGGAGGGAGTGTCAGACTTACTGACTAAAATCCACCCCGTTCCTGAGAAGGAACGGGTTACCGGGGCAGTTCGACTGCACATCGAGCCGGAGCCCCGGTAACCCGTTAGATTCTCCGCGATACATAGTTATAATAAAACTGTAGAGAGGTCAATTCTGTACATGAAATATATTTTCAAAATTATTATCAGTCGGTGATAAGGGATCGATATTGATGCCAAAAATGCAATCAATAAAATTTTTATCCATCTGTCTATATGTTTGCGCTCATAAATGTGAAAATATGGGAGTTTGTGTATTTGTTTGTTACTCAGTCACATCAAAACGGCTATAGCTATGGTCTGGAGTAACTTACTTAACTTAACTTACTTTTTACCCCTGTGGACGCGGGCGAAGCCGCTGGCAAAAGCTAGTATATAAATCAAACTTTATTCGTAATTCAAAAATGTAACATACAAATACTGCCACGTTGGCCGAGTATTCGAAAGTACGACCGGTGCCGGACAAGGGGTCTCGGGTTCAATTCCCGGGTCGGGCAAATTATTACTGGGTATTTAAAAAATTCTCAGTAGTAGCACGGAGTCTGGAATTGTGCATGGTATATGGCAATAAGTTTACCCCCTATTATATGAAACTGATAATATAAATAGTGAAAAGTGGGTGTTACATTATACAGTGGCATTTCAGTGCCCTCATGTGGACCTCTGCCTATGCCTCTGAGGATAAACGGCGTGGTTGGAATCTGGGGTACACGTTAGTAAGCATATCGAGTTTGGGCTCATTAGACATGTCGATTTCTCTTAATGACGAGATCATAATGATGAAATGAGTGTCTAGTTTTAGAAATTATGAATTTAAATTACTATACAGTTATTTTTTGGCTTATACCTGTGTATATAATTATGTGGACAGTTAGGAGTATATAGACCTAATAATAGAAGGTAAATCTTATGCATATTTATAATTTAGGAGGAAATATGGTTGTGGAAACATTTAGATTGATTGTGTTATTTACACATTCCATGAGTCATATGGAATAAAAATAAAGGAATTAATATTTGAACTTGTATTTTATTTAGTATGTATAACAAATAGCATATTACTTAAATATATCTTTTAATAATTAAAAATATCACAGAATCAGTGGTGGTGTTCAGGAACTATATGTTTGGCGTGACCCTCACGTTTCACGTTAGCGTTAAATCTGTAAATAAAAAAAATATTAGAATTAAGTAGATACTTTCATCAAGTAGCAGAATGTAGTAAATGGGGACATTACTACTACCACTTACCCAGTCTTCTTGTCAGCGTGGTACTCCACAATCCTGACAGTACCGTCAGGCTCGTGCAGACTGTACACGCCCTTCACGACGTCACCATCACGAGACTCGTGCTGGTATTTCTTGTCACCGGTGTGAGGGTCCTCTACTTTGTACGCGAACTCGTACTTAGGGTGGGACTGGAATGGACAACAATGTGTGAGGCCACTTGTCTCATCAAATAATAATTGACGATATGATAGATGTTTCTAATCTTACATAGTACTCGACGTGTTTCTCAGTTGCTTTCCCGTGGTGCTGCTTGATGCTTTGTGAGGAGGAGGCATGGCCGTGGTGGTGCTCGTGACCTTGAGGCTGCGCGGTGACCGCTACAAGCACGGTGGCGATTAGAACAACCTGTATGAAATCACTTATTAGAAAATAACATAATGCACTCTTATGACGCTTCACTTTAACATATTTTCAGAAAACTTTTTTACTTTCAATCAATATTTTTTTCTATTTATACCTTTGAAAACATTGTGAGAATAAATTTTCTTTCGTAGTACACTAGTAACTGATTTAAAAATCATAAGTATGTCCTTTTATACAAAAAGTATTGAAGTTGTTTCCTTTCGGGAATATTTAGTTGAAACAAGCTTAACTTGTACGTAACTCGTTCGGTTGACAGTTCTATGTTCATTGCAACCTTCAGAAATATTACATTAATGAAATGCCTTTCCCCGAATACTTTAAGAAAGCAGTTACATGTTACATTACCTTACTTATTGTTGCTATGTAATTGTTACTGGTCAGTATCGAATGACGAAAGTTTCTGACCGATCAATCTGAGAGAATTTTCAGCTTGGTTTTGTTTATAAATAAATATTTATTTTAGTTCGTAAGTTGATCTTCATAGTCCCTTATGCTATGCAGAAAAAGAAAACAGAAGAATAACAAAACAGAATTATAATGTAACGAAGAAAAAGAAGAGTTAACTTCCATATAAATACTTATGTAGTCTTTGTTTTTATTCATTGTTGTCAAAGATAATTTTAAGTTCCATATTTCAGTATCATTCCATACCGTTATCATGTAATTCCGACCAAATATCCTTCAACTTCTACACTGCAAGGACAAAACTTTTTGAATACATTGAAGATGTTGTATTAGTGTGGAACACTTATTTGATGAGTTACATTATGTAGCCAAAGCCTGCCTTTGCACCGCTTAGGATGTTTATAAATTGTAGCGTGTAAGAAATAAACATAAGAGAAATACATTTTTTTATCATTTTATTAAGTTCAACATTAGGAAGACTAAGTAAAAAAGTTTGTACAGTTTTGTTTTGTAGTAACAGATTCAGTTCTTGTATTAGTAATGATGGTGATGAGGAACGATGTGATGAATGCTGTGCTTCACGTCAGCATGGAATCTGAGGAGAGATATATTAATAATAAATAAAATATTAAATGACTAGTTTCAAATAAACCATATAAGTCGTAAAAAGATAAGAGTGTCTCCTCACCCGCTGTGGTGGTCGCCGTGGTAGTGCACGTCTCTGACGGAGCCGTCAGGCTCGTGCAGCGAGTAGTGGCCCTTGACGACGTCACCGTCGCGGTGTTCGTGCTGCGACTTGTGGTCGCCCGTGTGGTCGTCGTCTACTTTGTAGCCGAACTCGAACTTAGGATGAGTCTGTCAAGCAAAACATTAGTAAAGAGCGTTAAGAACGAATTGACAATTTAAGGTTTTACTTTTATCTACAAATATTATTACTTACATAGTAGTCATGGTGACCATGTCCATGATGTACGGGTTCATGGTGTCCATCGTATTTGTGGACGAACTGAGAAGAATGTCCATGAGCGGACACTACCGCGACGGCTACAGATAGCAGACAAAGTACCTGAAAAAAAAGTAATTATTTTTAGAATCAGAAATTATTAAATCTAGAACACTAAGAAAGAATGATTATTTCAAATACCTTGAAGAACATTTTGTAGTTTTGTTAAGGTTTTGTTACCAAGTCCAAATGTGAACTGATACCATAACTTCTAATGCTCACGTCTTTTATATGACTTAGAATAACGCAGCCAAGGTAGTATTGATTTCTCTCAATTATGTCGCATACGACATGGGTGTAATGAACTGAACAATTGTTTCGTAAATGCTATTAAAGACATAATTTACTTTTTAGTTGCATGATGTTAGGTCATTCGTCGCTTTTGTTTTTTGTTAAATGCGTGAGAAGTGGCAGGACCAAAGGGTAAGAGATACTTTTGTCAATGAACATACATACATAACATCACGCCTTTTATCCCCGAAGGGATATGCAGAGGTGCACACAGAAGTAACAACCACTTTTCACTATTTATGTTATGAGTCCCATGTAATAGGGGGGTGAGCCTATTGCCATATACCGGGCACATTTCCAGACACCATGCTACTACTGAGATTTTTTAAAAACCCACTAATACTTTGCCTGACCCTATAATCGAACGCGAGGCACCCTTTGGCAGTGAAGTCTTTAATAAATCTCATCTGACGATTTATGTCACTTCAACTCAGTTGACGCGATGTTTATACGATTCGGGTGGTGGTAATATACAGGGTGTTTGGTGCATCGTGTGCCAAATTGAAATGGTAGACAGAAGGGATCATCTGCCTTCAGACCCTTTAACACTCCTCATATCCTGTAGATGTTTTTATCAACGTTTTCTTGTTTTACTAAAAACACCCACATATAACATACAAATACAAATTTTCAAAAAAGAATAAGGTACGCTTTATGTTCTGAATTTTAATTTCATTTTGATGTGTATATAAATCTTGTATATGGCAATAGGCTCATCCCCTATTATATGGGACTCGTAACATAAATAGTGAAAAGTGGGTGTTACATTGTACAGTGGCATTAAGTGCCGTAATGTGCACCTCTGCCTACGCCTTCGGGGATAATAAAGGCGTGATGTTATGTTATGTATAAATCTTGTATGTAAGTACTCATGAACAATTCATGAGTACTTTTAAATACAGGATTAGTTGAATTAATCACTTAGTCTTATTTAATTGACTCGCAAAGGTAAAATGAAAATTAAAGCTGTACTATGTTATAGCTATGGCTAAAAAAAAACAAAAGCGATCGGGATCATCCAACTTTCTTATTAATTCTTCAGTTCTTAGGGAATAGAAAGTTAATTTCTTTGAAGAGGAAGATATTCTGAAAAGGATGATCGTTCGACTAGGCGAGGTGATCGTACCTGGCAGGTTTTCTCACCAACAGTTGGTCATTTGTCATGTGCTCCACAAGCTTTTTGTTTTTGCAATGGCGACATTTCCTAATGACGAATATGCGGACATCGTGAGGGCTTACGGTGCCGCATAGGTCAAACCTATGCGGCTTTTCGAGCAACGGTACCAGTACAGGGTGTAAACGGAACGTTTCATTTTCGTAAAAGTAAGGAATAAAACGTTCATTTTATGTAACAATAGTTGTAATTAACTAGTCAAGGCGGCTGGTGCATGAATAACACGAAAAGAAAAACGATTAAAATTAAAAAACAATTACTTTTTGCTAGCGTTTCGGGAGCGTTCCGTTTACACCCTGTATATAGCTGGGAATAACATGGAACGATTTTTTTTTTTTTTAAGGGGGGAAAATCATCGAATGACTGCTCCCGCCTGGGTGAGGCGGGAGGGAGTGTCAGACTCTTACTGACTAAAAACCACCCCGTTCCTTCTCCTGCACGTCGAGCCGGAGCCCCGGTTACCCGTTAGGTTCTCCGCGACTCCGAATCGGCATCGGCCCTGTTGGGCCCCATCTGTGGTGGTCTGATGGCTCTTTGAGCCGCGCGCGGAACGCGACGCGCCGTACGCTCGGGTCTGTTTCTGGTCGGACGGGGAGCCACCCATGCTCGCCGTCCGCAGGCCCGCGCTTACGGTGGCTGGAGATCGTCCCGCGATCCCCGACGCCCGGTGTGTCCTTCGCGATGGCTGGGTTGCGAGGAGGCAGCGCTTCGCTGCCTCACGCGTCCCGCCTCCTCCTTAGCTAGCATGACTGCTTCGCAAAAGGAGGAGATGGCATCCCAATCCCCCTCGCTCCGCATCATGGCCTGAACATGGAACGATAAATCTATTAGAATTACCATATAAGTAATTATGTAAGTAATTAAACAACAAAACCAGCCGTGTGCATTGTGTATGAAGTTAAATGAGAATATTTAATAATTATACACGTGACTTCTAAATCGTAATATTTTAGGTTGACATAAGTAATGAAATGGTTTATCTCAGGTTTGAGCAATAATAATTTATTGGTTGTTTGCGGTTATTGGGAAAATCATATAGCAATATCAAAAAGTTGGAATTTGTGTTTTGTATTCCTCTTCAGGGACTAAAAGGTATGCTGTAGAAGACATACTGTGTATTTTCTTTGGGTGTTAATAATTATATCAAAAATACACTAAATTATTTTCAAAGCTTTTTTATTTGTCCACAAAGAGCTTATGACTTAAACAAGTTTAAAGTAAATTGTGTTATAAGTAAATATATCACAGGATCAGAATGAAAGAACAAACTCTGCCACTAGAAATAACGTCTAAAAATCATACGACCAGTAGATCGAGGCGATATTTTTTTTTATCCTACGACAATGGCTAAAAAGTATTTATTTAAGTATATTTTGTATGTACCTCTAGTCTAGCCTAATTGTCAATACATACACCTTCCAAAATATTCCGATAGTAAATATTGTCTTTCATAGCACGCTTGTGTCTGATTTAAAAATCGTAATTATAACTTTATTACATCAATGTGTGTCAGAGATATTCTAAACATAGGTACTATGTTTTAAAAGAGTAACGAATGGAGTTTCTTTCTCGTTCTTCTCCACTCGAATCAACTTTTTGGAACGAGCACCTAACTTCACTGACTGGCAGATTGACAGACTATTATTTATTTTAAAGGTATTTATTGCCGTTTCAAAAGTATCAAAACATGGTTTAATTGTACTAGATGCTCTTGAGTTTGAGTTTGACTAGATCACGTCATATTAAGGTGTCCTGTTTCTGAAATATTTAGTTGAAATTAGGAAAAAATAATGACAAATTATCGTTTAGTTGACATTTCCATATTTCAGAGGGCATAAAAAGGTAACATTGTATGTTTCATATCTGAATCATAATATGTATAATTTTTCATGTCATAAAAGATAACATTTTGATGTCTTATAATATGAACGAAGGGTTAACAAAACGGGCTCCCAGGCTACCTTTAATAGTACGTTGTTAATGAAATACCTTTCCCTTAATAGGTATTTTAAGAAAGTAGAAATAGTAGGTAGGTAGTGTTGTAGATAATATCGAATCAATATCGTATAATTCATAATACATATTTTCTCTATTTCACCAGCATCATATGAATGTATAATGTACCTACTCTGAATTGGAAATAGAAATAAATTTAGCGAGGGTGAAAACTATTTTCATACCTGCATTGTAAGTTTGCATGAACGGGTTATGGTATTTTGGATAGGTGAACAAAACTTCGGTAATAATTACGGTTAAGACCGGGTTTTTAAAGAACAGAAATAACGAAGAATTTCCCTCATTTTCTTTATTACTTAATGAATAGTAAAACAATTAAAATACAACATAGTTGTCACTGAGTCAGTTCTCTAAATTAATACTATTGATGCGTTTAGTAATGATGGTGATGATGAGGTACAATATGGTGAGTGCTGTGCTTCACATCCGCGTGGAATCTGAAAAGAGAGATTAAAAAATTAAGAGAGAGATTTAATAGTCTTGAATTATCCGTCTGAAGTACCTACGAATAGAATGACACATTTTTTTTTCAACATCAATTAAACTGTCAAACACCAAGCGGTCACCGGTGACCGCAACCTATTGTTCTATAATTGTGTCTACAAAACCGGTACTCGACGAGTTAAAGTATGTGAAATTGAAAATGATAAATGTGTTTCCTCACCCGCTGTGGTGGTCGCCGTGGTAGTGCACGTCCCTGACGGAGCCGTCAGGCTCGTGCAGCGAGTAGTGGCCCTTGACGACGTCACCGTCGCGGTGCTCGTGCTGCGACTTGTGGTCGCCCGTGTGGTCGTCGTCTACTTTGTAGCCGAACTCGAACTTAGGATGAGTCTGTCAAGCAAAACATTAGTAAAGAGCGTTAAGAACGAATTGACAATTTAAGGTTTTACTTTTATCTAAAAATATTATTACTTACATAGTAGTCATGGTGACCATGTCCATGATGTACGGGTTCATGGTGTCCATCGTATTTGTGGACGAACTGAGAAGAATGTCCATGAGCGGATACTACCGCGACGGCTACAGATAGTAGACAAAGTACCTGAAAATGAAGAACATTTTGTAGTTTTGTTAATGTTTTATCACCAAGTCCAAATGTGAACTGATACCATAACTTCTAATGCTCACGTCTTTTATATGACTTAGAATAACGCAGCCAAGGTAGTATTGATTTCTCTCAATTATGTCGCATACGACATGGGTGTAATGAACTGACAATAGTTTCGTAAATGCTATTAAAGACATAACTTTGTTCTTAGTTGCACGATGTTAACTCATTCATTTGAATTTGCCTTCATGCCCTACTAAATGTTAGTTTAACGGTAGTAAATATATGTAAATATAATGTAATAATATTTTGTTAGCTAGGATAATGAAGATTAGGACTAAATACAATGTTTTGGATTACATTACAGGCTGTACTCATATGTTGCTTCATTTATGTTCCGTAATAGATAACTGCTTGATTTATGTTCGTGTATTAGATTCGTCCCCATATACAAGTGTATGCACATAGCATGTAAGCTATAAATTAAAAGGGTAAATAATATTTGATAATAATTTATTAACGTAATGTAACACAGTTATATCTTCTATTTTAACCAATGTTTAATCTCTAACAAACAAGATAATAACAAGTCTATAATAAATAATATCCCAGAATCAGTGGTGGTGGTGGTGTTCAGGGATGATGTGTTTGGCGTGCTTCACTTTGGCGTTGAATCTGAAAATAAACGACATACATTAACCTGCTAATATCAACCTAAAAGTGCCATTAGGTATTAAGAGTGCAATAATACTCACCCAGTCTTTTTGTCAGCGTGGTACTCCACAATCCTGACAGTACCGTCAGGCTCGTGCAGACTGTACACGCCCTTCACGACGTCACCATCACGAGACTCGTGTTGGTATTTCTTGTCACCGGTGTGAGGGTCCTCTACTTTGTACGCGAACTCATACTTAGGGTGGGACTGAAATACAGGATAACATTAAGCGTCTTGACTTTTTATGTAATAATTGAAAAGCAGGTGAAACTGTACAAGGTCTCTTCTTACATAGTATTCGACGTGTTTTTCAGTTGCTTTCTTATGATGCTGCTTGATGCTCTGTGAGGAGGAGGCGTGGCCGTGGTGCTCTTCATGATGGTGTTTTTCCTGGTGGTGACCATGACGAGTCTGTTCATGCTTTTTGTGGTGTTCTTTGTGATGTTCCTCGTGGTGTACAGGGTGTTTGGTCTCGTGAGTGTGGTGCAGTACGATGCTCTGTGAGGAGATGGCGTGACCGTGACCGTGACCGTGGTGTTGGTCGTGACCTTCTTGAGGTCGCGCGCTGATCGCCGCAAAGAGGACGGTGACTAGAAATGCCTGCACATAATATTTTTATTAGTCGTAATAACTTTCGTGAGACATACAAAATTAATTTTTATGTTTTCGGCTTACTCACGTAATTATTTGACGAGGAATTTGACTAGTTTCAAGCCATGCTAGAGGCTCATATTCATTAGCAGCATTCCGCGACCCGCAAGTAGAATTCTCGCCACGAGTAGTCGTGTTCCTCGTCAAATAATTACGTGAGTAAGTCGAAAAACGTAATAATTCATTTTATTACTTTATATAATTATGTAAATGGTTATATAAATGTTATATTATTATTAGTATACACATTTTATTTTTAATTACATTTTGCATGGCTTTCATTCCTATCCTACCTTAGTAAACATGATGAAAATATTTACTGTGGTCCTTTCCAAAGTACACAGGTAACTGATACAGGCCTTCCCAAGTATGTTCTTTTATATACATATAGAAATGCAAGTTATTTAGAGGTATAACAAGTGAAGTAATTCAATCTTATCGCTTTACTTACTTAACGAGTAAAAAAACTTGTGAATTAACGTCATATTTTTCGGAACCTTGAACAACCTTGTCAGATAACATACCTTTCTCAAAATTTGAATGAAATTTAAACACTTTTACGTAAATAATGACTTTGCTATTTATAGGGAAGCAGAAGAGCATAAAAACCCGTATTAAGAAGGAATGAGCAATCTCTTAGAAGTTATTGGCATACAGTACCTAATTATATCTGCTCATCTTCATAATATTTCTATTTATACTATAGCTTATATCATATATGACAGCTAAATTGCGGCCCTAGAAAAACAAGCCCATAACATATATACTTATTATATAGAGGTCAAACGAAGAGCGTGTATATTTTATTGAATATTGATGTAAAATCTCAGAGGTAATATTGATGTAATCTTGACTAATATTTTAAAAGTATTTTAAGTAAAACTATTCACTTTATTAAATCTTTTCTTATTGAAAATAGTATTTGTTATAGGTCCTCTGTTACAGGCAGAGTAAAAACGAACTTCGCTAACTTAGATGAATAATATTGAATAATAATAATAATAATAAGCCCGCAGGGCACCTTGAGAGCCCGCAGGGCACCTTGAGGGCCCGCAGGGCACCTTGAGGCGAGGTGACGGGCATTAGCGATCCCGCGGGCTACCATCATACCATCATCCCGAGTGCTCCAGGGAGAAGTCACCGTTCCTTCTTCTCCGGCTTGCCTTAATTGGCTGGCTGGAGTGAACGATGACAAGGAACAGGTCTCCCACCTCTGGCTTGCCTTCATTGGCCGTCCAGAGTGGAGTCGCGAGAGCAGTGATCCTGCTCGGAGGGTAAGAAACTATTCGTAAGTCGCGAGTGGGCCAGGGATGCAGGAGGCTTCGGCTGGAGCAGATGATCTGAGTAGAAAGCGGTGGTAGTTTCTTAACCCTTCAGCCACTCACATTCTCGTTGCCCCTCTGTTGCTATATCTAGCAACCATTCCAGGGGCCCGGTCGGTGAGTTGGCGAGTCTCCGCCTGCCATTTACGTGTAGTAATTACATTGTTTCGGCAGGTGCCATAGTCATCCATAGTTTCCAATTTACCGGTCCACAGCAAACCATGCATAGCCCTACCTTTTTTCTTCCATTATCCACAATAGTTCTACACTAACCGGGGACTATCCTTGGGTGCATTCCCATAGTGCATACAGGGATAGTCGCCGGTTTGTGTGTCCATTACATTTAGATTAAAGTTGTCTAAAGGGCCTCTGCGCAGTTGGCTTCGGCCCCTCGTATGCCTCCCAAATGACCGGGACCCTGTGGTTCCGTGAATGGTAAAGACATACATAATAATAATAATATGAATGATAATATAAATATGAATAATATGATGAATTTAAAATTTATTAATAATCGACCTTAATTTAAAGGTTTTGGATTTTATTTTTACAAAAACGTAGGATTTTCTCCTGTGTCGTGAATGCGTTTACAAACATACAAGTTGCACATACTCATGCCACCCAGACCCGGAACAACAATCTGTGGATCACACAAAGAGTTGTTCTGTGCGGATATTGAATCCGTGGCAGCCCAGCCACCGTGCAGGATTGATGTCGGTCAATGGTTTTGATTTCTTTACCAGAAGATATCGAGGTCAAAATATGATTGTAATTAAAATTAAACATGCAAAATGGGTTTGTTTGTCACCTCTTTGCACTTCGTGTACTCAACTAATCTAATTTAGCTTCATCTACTCGGAAGACAGACTATTATTTACTACAGCAAAGCCAAGGAAGCTAGCAAGTAGTCAATAATTGTAGGATATTATATGTATTTGTTTAAACTTCTCAGGCGTTTTGAGGTCCGTTTTATTTCATAGTAATAATATATAAATGGATTTCTATTTAGAAATGTTTTTATTTCTAATTGTTTAGATTACACTAAATTGATATTTAATTATTATTTACATTTAAATCTTCAGTATTTTCAGACGACCGGCTAAATTTCCAGTTAGTAATGATGATGATGAGGCACGATGTGGTGAGTGCTGTGTTTCACGTCTGCGTGGAAGCTGCAAAGACAGATACAGTTAATTTTGATATAATTAAATAATGAATATGAGATACAAAAAGAGTCCAGGAGATAAGAGTATTTTCTCACCCGCTGTGATGATCACCGTAGTAGTGCACGTCCCTGACGGAGCCGTCAGGCTCGTGCAGCGAGTAGTGGCCCTTGACGACGTCACCGTCGCGGTGCTCGTGCTGCGACTTGTGGTCGCCCGTGTGGTCGTCGTCTACTTTGTAGCCGAACTCGAACTTAGGGTGAGTCTGTTTACGAAAACAAGTGTCAGACAAATTGGAAACTATTACTATGACAATGGCTATTAAAGTTGACATTACTATCACTTACGTAGTAGTCATGATGACCATGTCCATGATATACAGTCTCATGGTGTCCGTCGTATTTGTGGACAAACTGGGACGAGTGTCCGTGGGCAGACACTACCGCGACAGCTACAGATAGCACACAAACTACCTTTAAGAACATGGTGTTGATTATGAATGGATTTTTGTTACTGCTTTGAAATGAAGTTCAAATCGGTACTGATACATTGCTTCTAATTCTCAAGTCTTTTATACAAGATTGAAATTATTATGATTCGAGGTTAGTATTGATTTCTCTCAATTAAATAATTCATAGATCATACATGCTTTATGACAACTATACGTTTCGTAAAAGTCATAAAATTTTGGTTATGGTATGGCTTATGCGTTAAGTTGCATTTCGCATGATATAACAATATTATATTTTATCGTAAATTGTAACGAATAGCTTTTAAACGGTTGTCTTTAAATGAATTAATAATTTTTTTTAATGAATCAATTAGTAACTTTTATTCTAATCTATTAGTAACTATTAGAATCTATTAGTGACTTAGATGCCTCGTTGGCAGAGTGACTGTAAGTGCGACTGCCGGGCAAGGGGTCTCGGGTTCGATTCCCTGGTCGGGCAAAGTATTTACTGGGATTTTAAAACATTCTCAGTAGTAGTACGGAGTTTGGAATTGTGCCCGGTTTACGGTAATAGGCTATTACATGGGACTCATAACATAAATAGTGAAAAGTGGGTGTTACATTGTCAAGTGAACGTGGCGAAGTGTGCACCTCTGCCTACCCCTTCGGGGATAAAAGGCGTGATGCTATGTTATGTTATTTATAACTTAGATGCAGGCCTTGTAAGCTATAGCGGTGCATTAATCTAAATTATCGTAATAGTAATAATTTTAATTATTCACTAGGAAGTATAAGGATTTCGAGATTTTCACCGAATAGGTTCAGTTTAACACGATATCGTGTAAATTATTTTAAATTCTGGTTAATTTTTTAACATGATAAAATAAAGATACGATTGCCGGCTTAATGAGCAAGTTACAATCGTAGTTTTTCAAAACACAGCTTTTAATGCAACGTCTACATTAGGTTTATTCTCGACAAGATTGTTTTTATGACAGATATATTGAAATATTACAAAAGTTAAGACAGGCCCTCTTGAACTGTAACTGTAACTCTAAGAGTTTGGAATATTTACCTGTAGTCATTATCATCATTATCAACAGCCTATAAATGCCCAGTGCTGACCAAAGCCTCTTCTCATACGGAGAAGGTTTGAGCATGGATCACCTCGCTTGCTCAATGCGGGTTGGCGATTACAAAATATTATTAGAAATTATATGACCAGGTTTCACCGTTTGTCAGTGGTGTCTAGATAATCTTAGAAAGTACATTTAACTCGGAAAAAGTCACATTGTTACTTGACGTTGGTTGGTTTCGAACCCGCACTCTCATGCATGAGAAACGACATGCCTTACCATGTCTTATACAATAAAATTGTCGTACTACAGTACGACACTTTATATACATATGTCGTACTACAGTACGCACACAATAAAATTGTCGTAATACAGTACGACACTTTTATATAGCACGTAGAATATTATGGTATTCTTGATTTGATACTACGTACAATAAGTTTTACAAATAAACATAATAATACACCATAATTCGAATTATTATTTATTAACGACTCATAACGACACAATATTATTTAAAGTTTTAACAAGATCTTATTTACAAAATACTTTTTTTAATCAATGGTGGTGATGGTGCTTGGGAACAATGTGTTTGGCGTGACCCTCACGCTTGACGTTGGCGTTGAAACTGTAAATAGGAAAATAGTCAATGTTGAAATTACATAATTATATGCAGTTGAATGATACGATGTTTATAAAGAAAGGAATCCAAATTAAGCACTCACCCAGTCTTCTTGTCAGCGTGGTACTCCACAATCCTGACAGTACCGTCGGGCTCGTGCAGACTGTACATGCCCTTCACGACGTCTCCATCACGAGATTCATGTTGGGACTTTTTGTCACCGGTGTGAGGGTCCTCCACCTTGTACGTGAACTCGTACTTAGGGTGGGACTGGAATATACAAGAATAAATTAGGATAGGTATTTTTATTATAATGTTATTATTCGATAATAAGTAAAACTTGAAAAGTTATTTCCTTACATAGTATTCTACGTGTTTTTCAGTAGCTTTTCCATGATGCTGTTTGATGCTCTGTGAGGAAGAAGCGTGACCGTGGTGTTCCTCATGAGGATGTTTCTTATGGTGATGTTCATCATGGTGTTTCTGTTCGTGTTTTTTGCCTTGTTCCTTGTGGTGCTCTTCATGATGTTCCTCGTGGTGTACAGGGTGTTTGGTCTCGTGAGTGTGGTGCAGTACGACGCTTTGTGAGGAAATAGCGTGACTGTGACCGTGGTGTTGGTCGTGACCTTGAGGCCGTGCAATCGCTACAGCGAAGAGCGTGATGACTAGAACAGCCTGTAGAAAATAATATCATTGTTTTAAATGATGATTTATTTTAATTATAATAATTATTTTTTACGAAGTAATATACATTTTCTATTTCACAATTATTTCATGTATGTACCTTTGCCAGCATTTTTTAATGTTTTATTATTACTGTGACTGTTACTACTACAAGAACTAATTGGTAACTGATAATTGTGGTAACAAATGTATGTCCTTTTATATGACAAGCAAATTACAAGTTTTACAGTACTTAATTTATTTTTGAAATATGTATAACTTGATTTACTTTGATAAGACATCGGCCTTGGTTACTTTTGTGTTAATCGGTAGCCTTTCTCCAAAAATGTGGAAGTAAGTTTTTCATTATTATTGTTGAAGTGGTGGATGTGGTTGAATAATAGATAATAGCTTGTTACATTTCGTAGTTTTATTATAAAGCACACAGAAAGCACATGATGGGCGCCATGCAGACGACAAAAGGGAAGAAAACAGATGAAAAAACAACATCTATGAGAAACTCGCCAACTTGACACTAGATGGCGCTACTTATATTATTTAACTTAAGATTATAATATTTACCTTATTACAACAATTATATTTGATTATGTAATACTTTTATTTTGTTAATAAAGGGATTTAACTTACTTTATAGTTTACTGACGAATTATCTGATAAATAATCAAAAAGACTTGGCAGAAATTTGTTCTGAATTTTCTAATTTACACCAGTAAACTTGATTAAAATTAATAATAGAAATATTTTCAAAATTATAGCAAATTATTGCCAATTCTATTGTCTTAGAAACAATAAGCCCTATGTTATGATATGGTCTGAGCGATAGCCATGCCATCGTTGAAATAATAAGAACGTTATGATTGTCTTTTATGCGTTCTGAAAATTTTTTTTCAAATCATTTATTTCATCTTTATTTTGAATTATTATACCCAGTTACATAAGTATGCCGCTATAAGTTGTACAAAATCTCAAAAGTATGAACAAAACTTTAAAAGTGAGAAGAACTCATTGTGAACTCAGTAGGGAATCATGCTTTCTACGTCTGTTTTCATCATGCTTTCTAGAGGTATGTATGGTGTATATTGGTTAACATAAACTTTGTCTTTAAAAAAATCTGTAGTGACTCGTAAAACATTACCAATGATCTGTGACTTAAAATAGTTCGGTATAAGTAATTATGAGACGCATTGTAAGATGTTCTTAATTCCTACTTAATCTTGGGTAAAAGATGCTTGGTTAATTGATTTCAAATACCAAAAATATAGTTAATATTTTTTTATTTCTTATTTGATGGCATTCATAGTTACAATAAAACAAACAAAAGTACAAAAATAATTTAGTCCTTCAACAGTTCAGTAAACAGCTGCTTTAGTAATGATGATGATGAGGCACGATGTGGTGAGTGCTGTGCTTTACGTCCGCGTGGAAGCTGGGAAGAAAGAAAAAATGTAAGTTTTGGATTTGGATCATAATTTCAAAGAAAATTTTTGACATGTGTATCCTACACATGTCAAAAATGTCGTCTCACCCGCTATGGTGGTCGCCGTGGTAGTGCACCTCCCTGACGGAGCCATCAGGCTCGTGCAGCGAGTAGTGGCCCTTGACGACGTCACCGTCGCGGTGCTCGTGTTGCGACTTGTGGTCGCCCGTGTGGTCGTCGTCCACTTTGTAGCCGAACTCGAACTTAGGATGTGTCTACCCAACCAATTTATATAGTGTTAAACATCTTGAAAACTACTACAATATTTATTAACATACTAATAATAGCTTACGTAGTAGTCATGGTGACCATATCCATGGTGTACGGGCTCGTGGTGTCCATCGTATTTGTGGACGAACTGGGACGAGTGTCCATGAGCGGAGACCACCGCGATGCCTACAGAAAGCACGCAAAGTACCTGAAGATAACACCTTCATATTAATAAGTTATTGAATCTTATAACTGATTTTCGAAAACTATGAAAAATCGTTAATGCATAGCAAGTTAAGCTTTCTTCTAGTGTGCATCTTTAAATCCCGTTTTTTTCGTTGATCTTACCTTAAAGAACATTTTGGCTGATTGTTGCTGGTTCCTAAGTCTAGGAGTGAACTGATACATATTTTGCAAACCTTACGTCTTTTATATGACTAAAAATTACATCGTCAAGGTGGTATTGATTTCTCTAAAATTATTATATCGATTGTTATTGTTAATGGGTAACGCTTTGACAGTCACAATATTTCGTAAACATTTTTTACGTATATGGTATTTTGTAGTTTATTTGAGTCAATTGTTTTTTTAAACAATATCATATAATTTCATAATCTATCATAATAATTTTAATGTGTGAATATCTTAGTTAAGGCCATCTTATAAAACAAAGATTTAAAATATATATTTTAGTTCACTTACATTTTAATCATAATACAATAAAATATTATATTTTATTATATATAATGGCTCAGGCTCCGGTGCAACGATAGGTTCGATTTCAATAGGGAGTAATCTATTCATGTGATCCACAAACTGCAGTTGTTTCGGATCTTTGTATGATATTGTTTATTTTTTGTAAACGCATCAATGATGAAGGAGAAAATTTTTATGCATAACAACCTTTATAATGTATTAAAAAAAAAAATAAAACTATAATATTAACTTGTTCATCGATAACAGTTAAGTTATAATTTCATTTTCTCACCTTTAACCACTTGAATGCCTATATATGAGACACAATACAAAATACATTGTGTCTCGCGTGGATCCACGTTTAGACATATGATAGGTTCAAACCTTCCCTGGACTTTCACGAACATTTCAAGACAAAAATTAGCCTAATCGGTTTAGCCGTTTTCAAGTTGTAGCGAGACTAATGAACGGAAATTTATCTTTAGTTACCTATATACCTACTTAGATAGGTATTTTAATTTGTTTTTTATATTCTAATAATTCTCAAATCTTCCCTTTCATTCATGCATCAGATAGTTTTGAGGCTGATAATGAAATCTCCATTCACATGGAGGAGAAATGGGGTAAATTAGTAATGCCGTCCTGCCACTAAATGAATTGTTAAAAAATTTGAACCTTTTACCGCCACGGACGGCTATAGTCGACAAATGACAACGTGTCAAACACTCCACCGACGTCTACAGCCGTCCAGAAAACGATATTTTTTTAAGTACAAATTAAATATAAAATTTGCTGTTTACATACATACATACATAACATCACGCCTTTTATCCCCGTAACATCCTCTTTTCACTATTACCAGGCACATTTCCAGACTCCGTACTACCACTGAGATTTTTTTTTAAAACCCAGTTATATTTTGCCCGCTCCGGGATTCGAGCCCGAGACTCCTTGCCCGGTAGTCGTACTTGCGAATTCGTTGCGCCATCGAGGCAGTCTGTTTCTGTGTTTCTTTTTTCTATTGTTTAAAACAAAACAACATTAATGAAATATTGTAAAATGGCACAAAGGTAAATTAATTACTTCATTTCACTAGAAAAACAGTCATTAAAAATTGCTAGTCGAAATCTGTAAAAAAGTGTTCTTCCGCAGGCTATGGACGCCAATACACGATAGCTAGTTGGCAAGTAAGGTAACATGTATATACATTTTATGTTATTTTTAATTCAAAGTAGCTTACTATTACTTTGAAAATTATTTTTTAAATGACAACTTTTCGTATCTGAATAATCCTAATGCATAATATTTATAATATTGTGGAAAAGATAATAATTGATATCCATATCAACAGTAAAGTATAAAATACGGTGTGACTATTCCAAGGTATTTTTGTATATGTAATACTGATTTTTTTGACTATTAAGTTTGTTTCAACTTAAACACTAATTCGTGCTCATTTCAAAATTCCGTAACAAATATCGGTATGAACTTACGGTATTTTGGAGGCATATACATATTATCCTCTACGTTCGACGCCATCAACCTTAAATCAATCTACCTACTCCGTCTTCTGATTATTATTTATTATATGCCGCTATTCCCATTCCTAGTCGCATGCGAGGCAGTTGTCAATTGTATATGCATCTTTTTATTGTTTCATTTATTCATTTGTATTTCTAAAGTCTTTTTTTTTAATGGGGGAAAATCTTCGAATGACTGCTCCCGCCTGGGTGAGGCGGGAGGGAGTGTCAGACTCTTACTGACTAAAAACCACCCTGTTCCTAGTTTTGCATTGTTTAAAACTTTGCAACGGCTGTTTTATAATAGTATAATTCGAAACAGGGTCAATAAATAAAAATTAGTAATCATTATGTTTTCGGCTCACGTACGTAACTGTTTGACGAGGAACTCGACTAGTTTCAAGCCATGCTAGAGGCTCATACACATGAGCATCATTTCGCGACCCGCGACGCGGTAATTGTCGCGCGACAGGTCAACGGTGCGACAGACACTGCCTAGTCGAGTTCCTCGTTAAAAAGTTATGTGAGTAAGCTGAAAACATAATAATTTATTGAGTATGTCTCACGAAAGTTATAATATAATAATTATGTTTTGAGAAATCATTTAAAAAATAAGGTTCGAAAGCAATGATTAATGGTTATAGAAAATATGTTGGAATTCCTATTTTTTTTGTGGCTTGGCGTGGGAGGGCCGGCGATGTGTTTACGCTCTGGTGGTTTTGACCACCTAATCTACAATTTTCTACCAACCTCAAAATAAAGTTATAATGTGATAAAACTTTTTTTACGCTTTCATACTGGTGATTGAATTTACTTAAGGTTTTAACTGCCAATAGAAAACTGTTGAAGGGTGGTTGAATGCCAATCCTTCGCTAACGTTGGTCACCGATGCATAGCTTTAATGTGTTAATTTTGATAAAGACTTAAGTGGAAACTTCAAGACGATTCAAATCGAATTTAAAAAAATATGTAATTGGAGCACTGAAAACTTGATACGACATTTTAAGCTTCTCAATTATTTTTCCTACAGTAATACATTAGGTTACTTCTAACGTCTACAAGCTTATTTGTCTTATTGCGATAAAATCACAAAAGTACAATTATGTAAAGATAACTGTAAGTTTGTCTTGTATTTTTCGTCAATCTGTCGAAGTAAAGAAGTGGGTTTCTGCTAATAGATATGTATAAGTACAAGAAGAAAGTATACGAAGGGCTCATTTGTATAAAAATCATTTACATTTATTTTCATAAGATTACATGGATATTAAACAACAAGGTCAATTCAGTCAGTTTTTAGTAAATAATTGGGTCTATATTTTAGTAATGATGATGATGAGGCACGATGTGATGAGTGCTGTGTTTCACATCGGCGTGGAAGCTGAGAAGAAAGACAAAATATTGTAAGTATTTTTTAACTATATAAAATAAAATAGATAAAGTAAAATTATAAGAGTATCTTCTCACCCGCTGTGGTGGTCGCCGTGGTAGTGCACGTCCCTGACGGAGCCGTCAGGCTCGTGCAGCGAGTAGTGGCCCTTGACGACGTCACCGTCGCGGTGCTCGTGCTGCGACTTATGGTCGCCCGTGTGGTCATCGTCCACTTTGTAGCCGAACTCGAATTTAGGATGAGTCTGTCAATGAAAAAGTTGTTAGAGACAATATTGGCACAAAATGATACAAGATTTATTAAAATTGTATCTGTTGTCACTTACGTAGTAGTCATGGTGACCATGTCCATGGTGTACGGGCTCGTGGTGTCCGTCGTATTTGTGGACGAACTGGGACGAGTGTCCGTGGGCGGAGACTACTGCCACGGCTACAGAAAGCAGGCAAAGTACCTAAAAGAAGAATTAAGAATTCACATTATTAATACTTTTTTTTTGCGTAGCACTATTATTTTATTTATCTTTACACATACCTTGAAAAACATGTTGTTCTGGTTATTGTAGTTTAGAATACCAAGTATAAGAGTGAACTGATGCATAATGTCTAAGGCCCACGTCTTTTATATGACTTAAAATAACGCTGTCAAGGTAGAATTGATTTCACCTATCATTACAACGGCCACATTGTTACTAGGTGTTGCATGTTATCTATTACATATTTCATAAACGCTTTAATTGCAAAGATAATAAAAGGGTATGGTTCATTTAACATTACAACTCAACATTCTTGTATATGCCAATAACCTTAAACTTGACAAATAAAACTGACTTTGAATGACATATTCGTCATTTGTTTTTTTCACGAGATATATTTTGATGGATTTTATTTTATGACTTCAACTATTTACCTCTCATTGACCTTGATCTGATATTGCAGTATTATCTAGAACTTATGTATAGCTAACTCCTTTTTAACACCTGACGGCCCAAGTCAATGACTCTACTGTTATTGATGGAAATTATAACAATGAGCAGAAATATTACATTAACCCGTTGAAAATCATCCCCTTAATTTGTTCATACAAAAGTAGTCTCTAAACATTAGTAGTTAGTGGAGAGGGGTCACCGGTGACCGCTTGGGGATATATTAAAATTACGATTTCTTTAATCGTTTTTAAATAAGTAGGTCTTTTTTTTAGTCGTACACGTCCCTATTATAGGATATAAAATTTATTACATACACTCACATAAATATACTGATAAAAGCTCTTCTAGTTACAAGTCACAGAGGGACTCTTCCTCATAAGCACTGAGCAGTGTGCGCGGTCGCGGCCATGTTGCGCAGCCTAGTAATTTTTAGTTAATTTTTAAAAAAAATCAGCATGGTTCACGAAACTTAGTGTAAAAAAAGGAGCAGAAATACTCTCATATTATTTAATTTCACTGTTATATTTAGGAACTTGTTTAATTAAAAACAATATAGAATTTAAATTTTATTTCATTTAATCTAGGTACTTATTAACATTAAACAATAGTCAACGAGTCAAAATATAACAAGCGTACATTTAATATCACAGAATCAGTGGTGGTGGTGGTGTTCAGGAACGATGTGCTTGGCGTGGCCCTCATGTTTCACGTTGGCGTTGAATCTGTAAAAGACAAGATAGTAAACGTTAATGAAACGTATGGTATGACATGCAAAAGCTATGAATAATTCACTTACCCAGTCTTCTTGTCAGCGTGGTACTCCACAATCCTGACAGTACCGTCGGGCTCGTGCAGACTGTACACGCCCTTCACGACGTCACCATCACGAGACTCATGTTGGGACTTCTTGTCACCGGTGTGAGGGTCCTCCACTTTGTACGCGAACTCGTATTTAGGGTGAGACTGCAACACAGATTGAAGGCCATTACTTTGTGGTTTCGTATTAAATAATATTAGAAATAGTAACGGCTTGAAAATGCTCTAATCTTACATAGTATTCAACGTGTTTCTCAGTGGCTTTCCCGTGGTGCTGCTTGATGCTCTGTGAGGAGGAGGCGTGATGGTGGTGCTCATGATGGTGTTCTTGTGCTTCAGCGCCAATCACGAAGATGACAGCGGCTACCAGGCATATCTGATGATTAATGAAAACAAAAAAAAATTGCTCAGCGGTAGTAGCATTTGGCAACCCAGTATTTACGCAATAGTCAAATTCTAGATAGTACATTGGTAAATAATAAAAGTGAAAACGATCCTGGTATAAATTAAATTTAACACAGGCAACTAGACTAAAAAGCACATTACTTACTTTGGTAAACATTTTCGATATTTAAAATATAACTGTTGTTTACTGAATAAGTTCTGAAGGGCGACTGATAATTTGGATCAGAATGAACTGCGTTTTTATATCTCAACTGATTCTGTATTAATGTATTAAATTATATTGTTGACAAGTTTGGTAATTGTGAAAAACGAGTTTACATTTACTCAAAAACTTATGATGCAAAAAACTATCACTTTAGCTTAAAAATTGCTCAAGAAATGAGACATTGGAAAGGTTTAAGTAAGGACAGTTTTATTATTATTTCACTATAATAATGTGGAAGTAGGTAGAGAGGAGGAGAATTTTTAGCAGTGGGGACAACCATGGCTAAAAATAAAAATAAAATATTCCAATTTTTGCAAAGACTGTTAACATTATTTTTTCTCAAATACGAAGTCAAAGTCAAGTTGTATATATTTTCATACATTCAACACAGCTTTTACTTTGGCTGAATTTGAGTCTGAGCCTGTACGTGAATAAATATTGATTCATAAAATAAATATAGTTAAACAATATAAACTCGACCATAACGACAGTGGCTCAATAAATGAGTCAAATAGGTACTTGGGTACTTAATATTTTATTGGATTGAATTTCTTATTTCTATTTATTTACAGTTACAGTTACATTTCATGTTAACGCAAAATAACGTAGAAAAAAATATAACGATTCCTAAACAACAAAAACTGTTTAATCCACTGCTACACATAGCTGATCATATTTACCTTTTTCCCATTACTACACTTGTAACTTCGAAGTTGGTACTTATCTACTCACCTGATTTTATTTGCTACATGATATGTGAAAGAACTCAATAGCTACTGATAAGAAGAGCAATATTGTATGCATCATTGTAAAATTATAGGCGATTTCTAAAAGCGCGGGAAAGTTTTTGCGGGTTGAAGTTTTATTTTCCGTCTGTTCAATTTTTTCCACGAAGTCGGGCGTTCAGTCAATGAAACCTGTTTGTTTAGACCAAAATATATTTCAAGAATATAATTTAGTGACGTCATAGAAATGTATATTATAAGTTGGTTACTCAAAACTTTGTATTGAAAATATGTGATAATATGGCTTGCTATAAATACACATATTTATATAAGTACATACCTATTTTATAGCTAGGTATGACGGCCTACTTAGTTAAAATCGGAAATTCACAATTGTGTTAATCTATATTTAGGAAAAAAGTAATAATTCCTTGAGCTAGAAGGAAAACAACATCAAAATACGCAGTATTAAGTCGACTACTGGTACGAGAGTACTTAAATTATGGACGTAATAAATGTTACGGCTAAACCTATAACAGGCATACAAAATCCTGTGGAAGTGACGTGTTTTTGGATTATTGGACTTGTGATATCAACATTATGTGTGGTGTTACAATTTGTACTGTATTTTAAAAGGCCGGATATAAGAAAACACGATCAGAAGATACTCACACAATTGACGATAGCAAGATTATCGAACACGTTATTTGAGTATCTTTTAGTGAATTTCTATCCATCACTGAATACCAGTGGTATCATATTCGCGGGTTACCAGTATACCGACACCGTCCTCGTGTGTTGGATGTTTGTCTACGCTAGAAAAATCTACAACAAAGTCGTGTCAGTGTTTGTTCTAGAATGGAACTTTATTAAACAATCTCTTGTGATTTGGATTTGTGCAATACCTGTTGGATCATTGTATCCAATTCTTATGAAAATAGAATTTTATACTGAATACTATCAGTCTTACGTGTGGGTAAAATTGTTAGTTTTGTTAGTAAACCTGACTTTCTTTTTTAGAGTTATATTAATTGTAATACATAAGAGCTATACAGGCAATGCTAATAGAAATATCATGGATATATTGAAAACGTGTATTATATCATTCATTTTGGTATGTATTACTAGTTTGCAAGCATTGTTACAAGTTGTTTTGACTGATGTAGTGACGTACTTTCAAGAAGGAAGTGTTTTCTTTGTTTTGAACGCATATCAAGCGGTTGCTGATACTATTATTTTTTTGATTCTTGCCAAAAATCGTGTTAATTAAATTTAATTAGTAATATCCATATTTATATGCTAAGCTTACTATTGTATAAGTAGTCTTTAACTTTTACGACGATTTAACAATATTAAATTATAATAAAATATAGTTTATTATTGTTAATTTATTGTGGTCTTATTAATTATTTGTCTGCGGCACTATAACATAAATAAAGTTAATATTGTATTTTTCCTGCTCCTGATTCCTTCGACCTAAAAATTAGTTTATGAAAGATATTTCTATAAGAAAAGGTAGGTTGCAATTGAGGGACGTAATCATAATTAAAATAGTCGTTTAAGAAACTGTTTATTTATTCAACACAAAACAAAAACGTAATAAAAATAAAACAATTAATATATTATTTATTTATAATCAATGATGATGGTGGTGGAGGTGGTGGGTGCTGTGTTTCACGTCTGCATGGAACCTGGGGTTACAAAAAACACAATGTTACTGGCGTCTCAGAATATAGCCATTGGCAAATAACAGGTACAAATACTATTTAAATAACTTTGAGAAATTCAAAAACGGTCGCGACTCAAACTTTACTCCGGGCATGGTAGTAGCACGCCAATATGTGACTGGCTTCGATAATAAAATTGATTTGATAATAGTACATCAACACACACTTACCCAGTCTTTTTATCAGCTACATAGTGGACATGTCTGAATTTTCCATCGGGCTGTTTGAAGGAGTAGTGTCCTTTGACGACGTCACCGTTGCGGTGCTCATGATGTTCCTTATGATCACCGGTGTGACCGTCCTTCACCTGGTATTTGTACTCATATTTTGGATGCGTCTGGAAATGTAATAATTATTATAAATATTTGTTCATCATTATCAGTACGGTTCCACACGCAACTGGACATAGGCCTCTCCTTACAGTATAGGTTTTTGAAATCATTAGTTGAAGATATATATTTTGTCACCAATACTTTATAATCTAAATCAATGAACTGGACTGGATCATGGTTACCTTACAAACGGTTGCTCAATATTGTTATACATCATTGATTAATAACAGCAACATAAATATTGATACGAAAGTAATAAAAAGTTTGTACTTACATAGTAGTCAACGTGGTGGTGATGTCCATGGTGGTCGTGTATATGCACGAGATGGTGGTGACCATCATGCTTGTGCAGGTGTTGTGATGAGTAAGCATGATGAGCTGACGACCTCGCTATGATTGCTAGTACGCACAATACCTGTAAACAAAAGAGAAGATGTTGATAAAGTGGATCGAAGAAGGATGTAGGACAAAAAATATCGGCAGTTTCCTATATTATAACATAAGACTTTGACTGCCAATAAAAAACTGTTGAAGGTAAATCCTCCGCTAACACCGGTCAACGGTGACCCCCATGGCGTTTAACGTGTTCAGAATGATAAATAGGTAATTCTAACAGGTACCGAACAATTGGTTACTAATTTCAGAATTTGTTAACATACTAACAATTTTGAAGCAGAATAATAAATATTCATATCATGTTACCTGAGAGTACATTTTGTAGTGTATTAGTTGTACTTTTGTCAGCAGTAAACTGATACATATTGACGAAAGTACTTGACTTTTATATTGAAAACAAAAGCAATCAAGGTGCTATGTAGATTTCACCTTAATTGATTGATGGCTATTAAAATTATTTACGACAATTTTGTACGCAACTACTGCATTTGTAACAATTTCGTTTCTAAAATATGCCTATGAACCTTACGCAATAAAAATATGGGCATGTGGAGGTATATACAAAATTCATTTTCTAATACCCTGATGCCAATTGATCATAGTAGAATCGACTTGTCGGTTAAGAGATTACAAATAAACATGTCATCAACATGATGAATATTTTAATAAATTCTTACTAAATGTAGACTTTTTACCAGGCGCAATATAGGAATTGCGTCTGGTGCATCGTATTAGAATCGCTTAAGGTATACGTGGAATTTTTAGTCTGCATCGGCGTAATAAAGAGTGAACTGCAACCGTTCTCTTGTCTCCAACGGGCTATCATTATCATCGTCAGATCAGCCATTTAAGGACGATACTGCTGGATATAGAGGTAAATCCGTACCAGATAATTTACAAGAGAGTAGTCCGCTAGAAGTATAATAATAAATAACCAGGATACACGAGGAATATAACTAAGAACTCAGGAACACACACGAAGAAAATATAACCAGGAACTAAAGATTAGAAAATATAACCAAAGGATCACCTACGATTCATGCAGACATAAATATTCATTACAATTCGGTTCAATCAATATAACACCTATTTTTCACCAGTACGTTATTGTTTATTACTGACAAACTAAAATTTTCCTATATCAGTAGGGTATTTAGTATATATTTTGTAAATACCATGATTTATTAAAATTTTATATAGAAAAGTCCTCATAGCGCAAGTATGCAGTTAGATGTCCACAAAGTCAGGTTCATTGATCTTACATACCATTATTTTCGGTATGCTTATTTTTCAAGCAAATATTCTTAAGACGAATTTCTGTTTAAAATAATAGTTTCGATTTGGATTACTAGAGATTGGTGATAGTATTTTATTCGATACGTTATGGGTCTCATATTGAATTTTGATATAGCCAAAGCACTATTGCTCATTAAGCACGTTACTGGGAATAATTATATTTCACGTGCCATTACACATTGAGGTATTTAAATGAAGTGGCATTTTTTATATTAAAACACGATTATTTTATTAAAAATATTTATAAATATTCAACAATCTTAAGTTAGAATGGTAATTAACATTATATGAAGTATCAGATCAATGATGATGGTGGTGTTCAGGAACAATGTGTTTAGCGTGACCTTCTCTTTTGACGTTAGCGTTGAATCTGAAACCAATATACATTATTAATATAAAATAGACTACAACAACATGAGAAGTTCATCAAAATGTTTAAAAGATTTTATAACTTACCCAGTCTTCTTGTCAGCGTGGTACTCCACGATCCTGACCGTACCGTCAGGCTCGTGCAGACTGTACACGCCCTTCACAACGTCACCATCACGAGACTCATGTTGGGATTTCTTGTCACCGGTATGAGGGTCCTCCACTTTGTACGCGAACTCGTACTTAGGGTGAGACTGGAATATACGTTAGCATGCATTTAGCTATAAGATAATAATAGGAATGGTAACAGAATTAAAATGTTTGAATCTTACATAGTACTCGACGTGCTTCTCAGTAGCTTTCCCGTGGTACTGTTTGATGCTCTGTGAGGAAGAAGCGTGGTGGTGTTCATGTCCATGTCCTCCTTGCGGTTCTCCAAAAACTACCGCAACAACAGCGGCAAATAAGAAGATCTAAAAAAGAGGTCAGTCGGTTTTTGAACTCTTTAAACGAATTTCGGGTGAAGAAGAAAGGTAGACACTCGTTAGTGTGTAGTTTGAAGTATTGCGCTTTTGGAGAGCTTATAAAATTTTGTGAAGTCTAAGGTGAATAAGTGATAAACGGTGAAGGATAACATCGTGAGGAAACCTGGGCTTATAATTTAATATTATAAGTTTGTAATCGCCAACCCGCATTGAGCAAGCGTGGTGATTAATGCTCAAACCTTCTCCGTGTGAGAAGAGGCTTTGCTCAGCAGTGGGCTTTTATAGGCTATTGTTGTTGTTGTATAAGGTGAATAAGTACTTAAGTAGGTAGGTACTATGCAATCACATTATTATTTATAATAAGTATTAGCACTTTGTTTCAATAATAAAATATTGTTCAATTTACCTTAGTGTACATGATTTTGGCTTTTGTTGGTTTTCTTGAAGTAATAAAAGGCAACTGATACATTTTGAGGGCAAATTATTTCTTTTTATATTAATCGACTCAAAAGGACTGTGAACATTTTGCAATTGTAAAATGAACATGTTATACTTGTATGTTCCAAGTGACATACTTAATATTTAAATGACTATAATATAATTATTCATTATTTAAGAATATTATATATATTATAGCCAATTGATAAACTGCCTCGTTTTGCTTTCCTGGATTTTGCGTGATGTTTGGTAATAGGTTCTTCCTTATTAGTACCTACATGGGATTCATATCATAAATCGAGAAAAGTGGGTGTTACATTGTATACGCGGACTTTTGCTTACCCCTTCGGAGTTAGAAGGTGATGATTATGTTCTTTTAAACCAAACCATATTTTGAATATTCTAGTGTAATTTATATTATAACCTTCGTGAGACATACTAAAATAATTATTATGTTTTAAACTAGTCGGGTTTCTCATTAAACAGTTACGTCAGTATGCCGAAGTCATAATAATTAATTATATCTAGTCCAGAGCTACTTAAAAGTTTTTAATATACCTATGTTATAGGCGTATTTTAACGTCCTACCTAATCGGTTATGTAGGTAGCTATGCCATAGTCGTTATTGCATAATTTCAGAAATGTAATAAAATAATTATATTTAAAAAAATCTTTATTAAAACAAAACAATTAAAAAATATTAATTACAAAACAACAACGTAATTTAATTTTATAGATAATAGAAATCTGATTTAATGATGATGCTTCTTCGGCACTATATGGTGGATACTGTGCTTCACGTCTGCGTGGAAACTGAAAAAAACAAAACAAAAATAAAAATAAAACAATTTTAATAATGAAATGAAAACATTTATTACAATTATGCAATAGTTGTGGAAGAGTTTAGCCTGGCGACATAACAGGTAAAATTATTAATAGAACTATTAATTAACTATGTAGTTACTTAAATTGTGGACTATGTCCATGTTTTTATAGACTTTTGTTGAACTACCTAGGGTTCTTTTGGGATATGAAGTTGCAACACTGTAATTGTTGTGTGAATACAAAATATTTTTGGCAAGATAATTTAATAAGACATATTGAACCTAAATATAGGCACAATAAGCTTCAGGTTATTGGCAATTAGTTTACGTACGTACCATAAGTGACTGTAACTAAAAAAGTATATTATAAAAAAAATTCACTAACTTACACAATACGTGTGTAAGTTACTGTCTGGTTAGTAGCAAGTACAAACACATGGATAAAGTTATCCATGGCATGTATTATACTTGTAATACTTATTTTTTATTTTTTAAACGTTACCCCACGCTAGGATTGTCTCATGTGTCGTGGGTGCGTTTACAAACATCCAATATCACATACACATGACATGCAGACCCGAAACAACAATTTGTGGATCACACAAATACCTAGTTGCTCCGTGCGGGAATCGACCACACTAAACGTTGCGCGGCAACCGGTTGCCCAGCCACCGCGCAATCAATTGCCATATGTCATAAGCCATATGTAATATGAACATTTTTATTAGCTATTAGCGCGAAAAAGTTCTCAACCTACCCAGAATGCTTGTCAGCATGATAGTGGACATGCCTGGCACCACCATCAGGTTCGTGCAAGGCATATTCTCCTTTGACTTGATCACCATGGCGGTGCTCGTGGTGTTTCTTATGATCACCAGTGTGATGGCTCTTCACATCATAACCGAACTTGTACTTGGGAGGTGTCTGGAAGAATAAAAGGCAGATAAGTTTAGTAGCATTTCTCTGGAAATGGATGGCTTGTGAAAAAATGCCTGCATTTTAATCGATGAGCTCGATTCTGAAATAAATGTTTTGGCAATCTAAACAAAAGCTGTATTATCACTGGAACATTTTCTGGTGTGAATAACTTGAATATTTAACAATAATTTTAGCTCAATTAAAAATTGCTGACTATAGTAATAACATTGACACTGATTTCGTGTAAAAATGTTCTTAAAGGTTTGCAGTTACTTACGTAGTAGTCAACGTGATGATGCCCATGCTTGTCTTTTATAACCACAGGCGTGTGATGACCGTCATGTCTTAAGATGTGAATCGAGGAGTGACCATCATGAGCTGATACGGCCACTACCAGCACAGCTAGGAAGCATACCTGGAACATAGGCGATTCAGGAATAATATGGAAGTTAACTAAAACGAAAATTAAACGACAACTATTTTGGTTTCGTCGACATGATATTAAACGTCGCGTCCTTTTAATTTATATTATACGGACGTCGCGTCCGAAGAATAATTTTCTAGAATCAAATTTTCGTTCGACGATTGTGCAATTAGAGCGCAGTTTCGAAAATTTAAACGTCAAACAGTTGAAAAAGTAACATAGTAGTAGTATACATTACGAAACTTCGTAATAAATGGAATTGTAGTAGAAAATGTGTGAAGTTTCTGACGAAACTTCGTTTTTCGTCGAATCAGCGTAGACCTATGGGTTCGTTGGTGACATTTAATTTCGTAGGTTGTTGTGACCTCCCCACAAGCAAATTCATCAGTAGGTATTGTATTATATATATGTCGATGTATTTTTGTAAAATAATAAATAATAATGGTATTAATAATTGGAAAAAAATTGAGAAGATCCCACACTAATAATCACACTTGCAACTACTGAACCTAAGTTGTTCAGATATACAAAGCACAATCACTCAAACTTTTCACTTCAATTGAAACAATTTAGAAATTACCTTAAAAATCATTTTAGATTGTAGTACTATTGTCTTGTTTTCACTAAACACGATAGTGTACTGATGAAAATTTTCAAAACCTCAACTTTTATATTGAAAACAAAAGTCATTATTTTATTGCGATATTCTTATTTTAGATCACGGTAGTAATGCAATGTTTGAATGCACAAACTTATTTTTAAATATTTCGTAAAAATACATTTACACGCATGCGCGCAGCTTATGCATACAAACATTGCATCGATGATTATGTGAAAACATGATAATTCGATTAATTTAAAATTAACGAAGAACTACCTACATACTTTTGCCATCAATACGTAATATCAGTACCTACTTTCTACCCTTTTGCCGCTGTCAAGTTCCTAAAGTGGAGTACTTTTTTATTTTTGTAACATTTTCCAATTAGTATGAAGTGTGGGAGAGCCATGGTTCGGCACGGATGGGCTGGATTGTCCGGAGTGATACCACGGCTTCACAGAAAACCGACGTGAAACAACGCTTGTGTTGTGTTTCGTCGTGTGAGTAAGATTACCCGTGTCCCAGTTACCCCTCCTCCCCTTTTCAGATAAGACTCTCCTATCCCCGAATCTCTTGCAATCATCAAATTCCCATAAAAAAATCAATTAATTATTAGTTTTTCAGTTTACCTATTCACGTAACAGTGTGACGAGGAAGTGGACTAGTTTCAACATAATAATTTATTTAGTACTAGTTTCTGTCAACGGCTTCGCCCCCGTAAAAATAAAACAGTACTTACCTTATTTATTATGCCAGAGCATAGTCCACCTCTGTTCCAAATTTCACTCCAATCCCTTCAATCGTTTGACGTGAAGGAATAACAAACAAACTCTTTCACATTTATTATGTTAGTAGGATTAGTAACTCAATTTTTTAATTACGTTAAGCTTAACAACTCAAAACTCATTGAAACCTGTAATATTGATACAGATTAAAAATAAGTTTAGTCTTAAAGAATAAAAAATAATTTGTTTCGATACTCTTTATCGACGTCATCTATGTAGGTAAATGTTGGAATTATCGATATCTCTCTTTGTTTGACCGACAATATTTATGTATAATTTATTTATTTACCTGATAACTGCCTGGTTTTACATTTGCAAGCGCGTCTGCGTAGTAAAGTTGATATCAGATGGTTCTTTCACTCAAAATGATACGTCTGAACATGAGATTAAAACAAGAGTTTAGAATGAATTCATTACAGATCCAATTATCTTGGATTTTGGCATTCAGCATCATTCACTCCTAGACCCATGAACAAAAAATGAACTGTGGATTTGATTATTACATATTCACGGACATCACTTGATGATATATTTTAACTCGTCGAATACAGTTTAAACTGCCAAACACCGAGCGGTCACCGATGACCGCAACCTATTGTTCTTTAATTGTGTCTATAATGACGGTACTCAACGAGTTAAAAAACAATTAATGAACGTTAATTTCTTTGTCACTTCACTAAAGGCGGCTAAACATGGAATGATAGATAAATAAAACATTCACGGGGGTGAATATTTATTTGAGTAAACCGTCTGATTACCTTAAACAGTTTGAGGCGGTCAAATTGACGGGTATTTCAAATCTTAGGAATGTAGAGGTAGTACCAGGGCATTTGGAATTATGTACCCAGTAGATTAAACAGCAATCATCCCATGTCACATGAAATGTTACATTAAAAAGACAGAGATGTGCTCTGTCTTTTTAATGTAAATAAACTTTAAACTCTTTGGAAAATAAAGAAAAAGTACCGAGATTTATATCAAAACATTTATTAGTAAAAATCCATTGTAAAACATCCTACGCACAAATCAACAACAGTTTGAGTATTACGAGTATATTCTTGGTAGTTCATAAATCGATTAATGGTGCTCATGATGATGATGGTGATGGGGCACAATGTGTTCTACGTGGACTTTGTAGTCGCTCTTGGTGTCGTGTCCGTCGCGGTGCTCGTGTTGTTCCTTGTGGTCACCGGTGTGTTTGTCGTCCACCTTGTAGGCGAATTCGTATTTGGGATGAGCCTGAAAAGGATTTAGGAATATTATTTCCCATTTTCTTTCACGACTATTAGGTATAATAGTTTTCAAATCCATAAGGTTAAACTTTATAACTTTGTTTACTATTTTCTTAAAAAAACCAATGAAGATATATTAATACGATGAAAACATTTACATTTTTGCAAATTATTGCTAGATGACTAGCAGAGACGTAAAATATGTTATCAAATATATTAATACTTATTTTGCTTTTTTCTAACGTTTCCAATTAACACTCCAAAACAAATTAGGTCTTTAGCGAATTTTAAAATCAATGGATTGATCTCTCAACTCCAACTTGACTATTATAAATATAATTGTATTACTAACGTAGTAGTCGACATGGTGATGTCCGTGTTTATCCTTGAATTCCACAACCTGGTGATGTCCATCATGTCTATGGATGTGCTGAGAGGAGTGACCATATTCCGCTGATACGGCCACTGCGACGACAGTAACGATGCATAGGACCTGGTGAAATAAGGAACACAACTCCTATATTAAAACATGTCATAGTTAAAATAATAATTAGCAGTAGAATGAAGATGATAGTGATATCTACAATAAGTCTATTTTTTTTTTAAATCTATGTTTTTGGGACCGATATTCTAAACGATACCTTACCTTGAAGTACATTTTCAGTTTGTTTTTAATTCAAGGATTGGGTAGTAGTTGATGAAGCTGTACTATTCGTACTAGATCCACTAATGAACTGATACACACTGGAAAAAACACGTTGCTTTTATATAAAAAACATAACAACCAAGGCAACATTGATTTCACTTTGAATGGCCGACACTAAAAATTATTAACGATATAATAATTTGGATTGTTTCGTAAATTTGGAGCTTTACACGCCTACACTAATTGCTTAAGTGACAACGGAAATGCATAACAATGTTATAAGAGAGAGGCAAAGGTAATTAAGGAGGTAATTATACTAAAACTTATTGTATTTTTATCCGACTGTTTACGTTACACTTTGTTATCTGGCGACATTTCATAATTTTAATGTAACAGTGTGAAAATAAAGTAGACAATTAAATGGTTTGCTTTATTTTTGTGAACAAAACTAATTGTAAATTACACTAGTTGACACAAATCGCCTGAAACTATTGCTTTTTTATAAAACGGAACAATACAAGTGTACGTGTAGGAAATCCTCGAAAATCATCACGTATGGATGATCGGTGATCTTCGGATACGTAAGTATAATTTTTTAATCCGCACTAAACAATCTTAATAAAATTAGAAGAAGAATTTTAAATTATTATAAACACCGATTTAAGTGCTGGTCAGCAATAACTTCTTCGTTTGACTTCCTGAGCCAGATTATAAGCCCAATTTAAAAATGTCTCTTATATCTAATATGGTTTTTTTTCTTTTATTGTCTTGTTTTTATATGTTTCTGTATTAGTATTAGTCCGGTTGCCGATATTTGATTGCTATTGGTTATTTCCTGACAGAGTTGAAAAAGAGTTCGATCTAGTTCTCATTATATGCTCAGCTGTGTTAGAAATGGTCTTCAGGAACCTATGTTGGGACAAAGTAGGACTATCCATAAATGGAAGAATGTTAACACATTTAAGGTTTGCTGATGACATCGTTTTATTCGCAAAAACACCGGAAGACCTAAACAACATGTTAAATGAATTGTCATCAGAAAGTGCTAAGGTAGGCTTGCACCTAAATAGAGAAAAAACAAAAGTAATGACAAATGGAGAAAAAAGAACCATAATGGTAAAAGACATAGAAATAGATTATACACAAGAATATATATATCTTGGACAATTGATGTCACCCAAAGACACAGTTAATAAAGAAATAGAAAGAAGAGTAGCAAACAGCTGGAAGAGATACTGGGGCTTGAAGGAGGTAATGAAAGATAACAAACTACACATAGCAACAAAAACAAAACTATTTAACACCTGCATCTTACCTGTACTGACTTATGGTTGCCAAACTTGGCCATTATCAAAAAATACGACCACAAACCTCGCCACATGTCAACATGCGATGGAAAGAAGCATGTTAGGTGTAAAGAAAGCAGACAGAATAAAGAAAAAATCCATCAGACACAAAACCAAGGTACAAGATGTAACTTTAAAAATAAAGAGATTAAAGTGGAAATGGGCAGGTCACTTGATAAGAGGCAAAGAAAAATGGAGCCAAATTGTTACTCAGTGGTACCCAAGAGAAGGTCATAGATTGAGAGGAAGGCCTAATAAAAGATGGGATGAGGACATTCGCCAAGTAGCTGGAAATACATGGCACAGAGTGGCAAATGAAAGGTCAGAATGGAAAAGGTTGGAGGAGGCCTATGCCAACTGGCAAACGGATCTGCAAAAAATTAGTAAAAACCAAATTCATGAGTGATATTATTTTTTTGTAACTTGTTTTTGTTTTTTGTAAATCTGAATAAAAGGCTTTATTATTATTATTATTAT